GTCAGGTCACTTTTCGTCTCTGAGCACCGGGAACTTTCATGTGTCAAAGTCCTGATGCAGATGAGACAGCTGTGATTTTCATGTAGAACAAACCTATATTAAATTTAAAAAAAAAACAACCAAACAAACAAACTGATTTCTCATTTTAATAACAATGTGCACTTTCCCCCCAACTGTATATCCCTCTGGCGTTATGAAGTGATACTTTTTAACATAACCACAGAGTGAGAACCAAAAAGCCTCTGAGCTAAATGTTGCTGAATTACAGTGTCTATAAAAAACCCAGACTGAGAAAGAAATCACAGGTTGCAGACAGGCATCCTCCAGGTAGCCCTGAAGTCTCTCTGGTCTGGCTCAGTGGTAATTTCTTACAGTGGTTCATTAGAGCAATGCTTTTTTAAGAGTTTTGTTGGGATTTACAGCAGTGCTGAATTTGAAGAGCTCCATCCTCACAATATCAGAGACTGTGAAGAAGATCAGATTCTGAGTGTTTAGCTACTACAGCTGTTCCCTTGCCTGAAAGATCCGTGCACAAGGTGTTATCATTTCACGTGATGATGTTCTGCTGAAAAAATGCAGAAAAACGAGGCAGACAAAACAGTTTGGACAAGGAGACATATTAAAATGGTAAGACAAGGCAGTTTTAATTCACAGCCAGGTCCTGGGTGGCAGCAGATGAGCTGAGGTGTTTTGTGGGCTGTGACTGAGTAATGCAAAGGAAAGCCCTTTCCTTCCTCCTCTCAAAGGTTGGCAGCACAGCTGCTGGAGCTTCTGTAGGCTGTAAGCTAAGCAGAATCTAATTTTGGTAGCCAGATGATATGGCTTTTGCTATAGCCAAAAAGTCTATAGTAGCCTTATGTGAAGTCCAGAGCAGAAGCAGCATACCCACAGTCAAATATTAAATCAGCTTCAGAATATACTATCTTGGCTATCTATTTTTCCCTACATCCATATTTTTAGCTTGATATAGATTAATACAACTGAAGTTTACTGGGCTTTTTGAAACATCTCTTTTCTCCTTTTTTACCACAACATTTGAGGATTAAACCCAGAGCAATCCACTACATATTATTTTTTAAAAATCTTGAGATTGATGTCTGCATTTTGTAAATGTGCTTGAATTTACACACAAGAAATGATGTTCTTAAAATTTAATCTGCACATACATAGGACTGGCTTCCATTCATTCTTTTTCTTTGAAAAAAATTACTTTTTTTAAAAACTGATAATTTCTAGATATTCTTAATGTCATTGTGGGCAAGAAAGGGAATTAACTATAAACATAATAGTCGACTGACAGTCAAAGTCAAAAAGAAAAGCAATGATTAGTCTAACAAGCATAACAGGACTGTTTTTCTGAAATTTTACATTGGGTTTTTTTTATAAAAAGACCATGCCAAGAACCACCAATTACTTGTTGTCTCAATCTACTCTGTTTTTTATTTCTCCACTTCTTTTCTCATCACTTGGTGATTCAGGCACATTAAATTCTATTCAACAGGTTGCCAATTATGAAAATGACATATTAAAATCCCGAACTGGGTGACTAATATTAATTTTAGCCTCTATTTATTACCTGTTTATGACAACATGATATTGTTCTGCAGGCCTGCTTGTAGTACTCAGATGAGGATAAATGTTCTGTGGGTGGCAATAGTTAGATGTGAATTAGCTGGTGCTGTTTTGCCAGCTGTGACAGATGTGCTGTGCTGCATTCAGTTTAGAGAGGAAAACAATTACCACAAATTGGTAAAATTTGGAAAAATACAGACTGCACACGAGGTTGTGCAGCACCTTTAAACAATGATCCTGAAAGCCTTTCAAAGGTGGTGCAGCAATGCTCTTGGAAACTTGAAGTCCTATGAAGAATGCACACATAGCCTGTCACAAGACCCAAGAGTTTTGCTTCTCTGTGATTCTTAGAGGGTTTTCATGGTCCAAACTTCTCCACCTGGTGCAGCTGCAGCTGTTTCAGTTCCTTCCAGTCCAAAATAGCATCTCAAAAAAACTGAGAAACAGAAGAGAAAGCAGACAAAATTAATTAAAAAAAAAAAAATTATACATACACATACATGTATTTGAGACCCCTACACTAAAGCAGAGCTGCTAGGGGTCACTGAGAGACATCTTGGTGAAGGGCAATTAAAATCACAGAATCACAGAATGGGTCAGGTTGGAAGGGGCCACAGTGGTCATCTGGTCCAACCTCCCTGTTCAGGCAAGGTCATCCAGAGCACACAGGACAGGATTGTGTCCAGGCAGTTCTCTCTCCAGTCAGGGAGACTCCACAACTTGTCTGGGCCATGTGTTGCAGTATATTCTGTCACTCACACAGGGAAGTTCTTCCTCATGGCAGAAAAAATTTGCAGGACAGGGTAGGAAGTTTGCAAACTAAAGCAAAAGTCTGCTTCCTGTTTTTCCAAAGATACTTTCAATTAGGTAGGATTAAAATATTAGCCAGAAATGAGCAGTAAGCATACTACAGTGAGATGCTGAGAATATGCCTGGATGGGTTTTTCCATTTGGAAGGATTGCTTGGGACAGATATGATCACTAGTCCCTCTGTTGTGGAAAACCATTTATTGTTCACTGTGTTTTACAGAGGATCTGAAAAAGGATAGAACATAGAGAACTGTTATAGCTCATGGGACTGCAACTCTGCAAGAAGCAGACTCTTTAATTAGTCTCTAATGACTAAGTAAAAAGAGGTCCTAAAATCATACTCTGGAGAGTATGGCATTACTTCTTCCTCCTCTGCTCTTAGTGAGAACCTGCAGTGCAGAAGGACTGGGAAAAAGGCTGGCACAGATGAACTTTGCCCATGTGAAGATAAGCATGCCCAGGAAGGAGCCTTTGGCAGCTCCAGCACTCCAGGGGCACACCTGCTGTGCAAACCGGCCTCCTCCCAGCCACTCCCAGCTCAGACTCGCTTCTCTGGGACAATGATACACAGGATACTGTCAGGCACACAGCCTGAGGCAGGGCTGGAAGACTGGGGAGACAGGAAGCATTCCCAGCTGCTGTGCTCACACAGGCACAGAGTTGGTGATTAGGAATGAATGCCATACTAGCTCCCACAGTTAAGGTGAAGTGGGAAAAGACTGAAAAAACCCACATCCAAGCAGACCAGGATAGGTATTAGCAAACACCAACCATGACCTTCATCATGATGACTAACCAGCTACAACACTGAAATGAGTCTTTCACAAAGAAATGCAAGCAAAACTCTTTCCTCAACAACTGGCAAGATCAATGCCAGGCTCAATATCCTTAATTTTAACCTGTGAATAGGCATTCAATTGGAAAGAGTTTGTGATGAGGTAGTCTTCTCCTTTTCCTCCTAGATGCTAAGAGAAAATTGCTGTACAATCCCTAGTAGTGCTTTCTTTTCCTATTGTCAGGGTAATTTGCCTTTACAGCCCATATGAAACAAATACTCTGATATTCATTTATCAAAACCCAAGATGCTGGACTGGAAAACCAAGCAGGGGAATTACAAACACAACAGGCAAATGCAGGCTCCAGAGTGTGTCTGCTTTACCTCTCAGGGATTTGTTTCAACTTGCACCTGGAGAACCAACCAAAATCTTCAGAAAAAGCCAAAATTTAATAATCTTGCATTTGGTGAAAAAAAAAAAAAAGAGAGCCTATTCAGAGTTCAACTACACTGAGTAACTTACAAATTGAGCAGAGGAAACATACAATGATGTTAAATGCTTACAAACCCGGATCTTTCTGTAGTCCTCTTACTGCCCTGCATTTATGTCTAAAACCTTAATCTCATTTTAACATAGAAAGCAGTGAGACGGATTTGCTAGGATTAGTCTATGTGAGAAAAAGAGAAGTTTAAGGTGTTTACTGGCTAAGGAGTAAAGATATTTAGAGAACTGTTCTGAAACATAGCTTCTAAGGGATGCATTTTTTTCCTAAATCGTTATTAGCAGTAGCTGGACTGAAAAACAAAGCTACAGTAGTTTCCTTTCAAATTCAAAGCAATTCTAGACTTCAGCTGAAGCCTTAAAAATGCATACACAGAAAAAGGATTATGTTTCATCTTTTAACAGAAAGGCATTCACTAGAAAGGAAGCAAATCGTGTCCAAAAAGCAACATTTGTTGATATGAGAAGCCACGCCAGCTTCTTGAGTGCAAGCTACAATATGTGCTGACAGCTTAAGCAATGCAGGGTGCAAGATTAGTCATTGCCCTGCTATTCACAGCGGCTTGTTTCTTCACTGGTAATCTGCAGAAAAGCAAAACAGAATTCCAAACACCAAACTTCAGGTTTTTTAGTTACAAGAGAAAGCACTGAGAAATCAGCATGTGGAAGTGTCCCATGTTTAACTGCAGCATGGAACTGAACCCTGCAAGGATAACTGCATAATGAACAAAATGAAGTCCAATGAAGAAAAGTATTGAACAATTCCTTTACTGGTAGCCTCAGAATTTAGCTTGTAACCTGTTTTTAACCACTTCAGGAGTTGTAAATATATGGCAGACAATAAATTCTGTGCAGGTTCCTGTAAACTTATGACCAGATAGTAGTCTGGCTGCACTGCACAATATTATAGATAAAAGCAGAAGTTTTAGGATTGAACTGCCAGAATATTTACTGTAAGCTTATACGATTAATCAGCATAGGTGTTGTAGCAGGCTTTACTGTATTTATTTATCTGCTCTTACTACACCAAGACTTCAGGATTCTCAGGCCTGAGTTCCTCTCAGAAAGAACTGCAGAATATGTTGGTTCACTTTGGTGGCAGAATGTATGCAAATTTTATTTCTCTGTTCTGAAAGGAAAAGTGGAAAGCCTAAACACCTTTTGCATGTTGCTTTTTGGATTTGTTGCAGGTTTGGGGTTTTTTTTTTTGCATTGATACATTCCCACTGTCTACACTTATCATGATCCATTTATATAAAAGTGATCCAGTACTTTGATAACAGGAGATACTTAGCCAAATATCTGCAGCATGCAATCAGGAACTGGCCAAGTAGTCTGGACTTGGAACAAGGGATTTTATAAAAACTATGGGTAATTTTGCTTTTAAATTCACCAAGTTTTTTAGATTTTTTTTGTTTGTTGTAACATAAAACATCCATGTAAATCACAAGTATGACATTTTAAAGCTGAAGAGACAATTGAGCATGTTCTTTTAAGTAACAGTGGCATTTTACCTGGACTTTAACATACCAGTGGCATTATATCTGGATTTTAGCATACCAGTGCAAAGGTGTTACCAGTAGTCAAACCTGAAAACAGAAAGCATGTATTTTGGCAAGGCATTTTATTACAATGTCAAATCTTCTTTGTTAGCAGTCAGTCATTGAAAACAATCTGTACACATCTAATTTAGTAAACAAAAATAGCTGTACAACTTTAAGTGATGTGCCCCATTTATGTAACTTGTTATGCTCTGAAGTGATGCTCTTCATTGTTTGAATCCTCACATAAACAATTACTAGTCTTAACATATATTAAAGTAAGATTATATTCTTCTCTCAAAAAGTACAAAAAATAACACTTTACATATACAGTGGCTCCTAAGCTTAGACAGAATCCTGTCAGGTAGAGGGTTTTGCACTTCAACAGACAATGCTTTCAACCTCAAGAGCTCTTCAAAGTGCTTGGCAGAGTGTGTGAACACTATCCCCACTTACTAGATGATGAAACAAGGCACTGAGGTCAACTACCTTGCCCACAGTCACACAGAGAGTGAGTGGTAGAACTAACAAAGCAGAATTTGTGGGGTTTCAGTTCTCCAGTGTAACCATCACATCTCATTGCCACTATTCAAGTGCAATGGCTTAAATGTTTCTGAGGAGCAAGATGTGTACAGCACACAGTAAACAGTAGGGAAGATTCAGGGCCAGTTAAAGGCTGCAACAGTTTCAACCCAAACCAAATAAATTTGGTAGTCAGTAACTCATAATGCACTTCAGGGAATGATTACATAGAGAATTATACATTAACCTGCAGAAAAAAAAAGTTCATTAAACATAAGAAATATGGTGTTGCCTTTGCAAAAAGTACTGGTTATCTTAAGCTTGATAGTAGCTCAGGTATAACGTTAAGTTTGTCAGAGAAGTGGTACTTTCTGATCCACAGATATTCTACACATTGTTCTCCTACCAGCAAGATGAACATCTCTGGAGAGTCACTCAGAAATGCAAATAAGGGAAAAGTATCTGTTCAGGAGGCAGAGATGCGTATGAGGCACACAACCACACATTAATTACTTGTGAGGTACTTGTGGAAGACTAAGTATGGTAAAAAAACACCAATCCAGAAAAAGAAAATAGTCTAAAATAAATACAGTTAAAGAAACTGAGTCACTCATCCAAAAACCACCAAGAAATGCATCTTTGGATAGCTTATGTTGCAAAAACAAAAGTGTGACATGTGTAATCCCTGCCGGGATGAGAAGCATTCTCTGGCCTAGCCCTCTGCTGACAAACAAGCATTTCAGAAATCCTGTCCCTGGATAGGATGCTCACGAGATGACTCATTTACTGACAGAGGCTGCTGATGGGATTCGGAACAAGTACACTTTGATTATGTTCTTCACTGACTTGATGGGAAGGAACCGTGTCGTGGCTAGAGTGAGACTGCTGACTTGATTCCTGAGCCAGCTGCACGTGCTGAGCTGGATGTGAAGATCCCGCCAAGTGGATTTGTTCATTTTGTCCTTGATGAGCATGGAGATGTTCTAGTGCTTCCTTGGAAAGAGTGATGACATGCATTTGTTCAGGTTGGGCAGCCTCTATTTGGTTTGCAATCACATTGATACTTTGAATTTGTTCTGCTTGCTCCTGCTGAGCTGAAAGCAACAAGTTTTGCAGCTGCTGCGGTGGCTGTGAAAGGAGTGCGAGGTTCGCAGCCTGCTCTGTCGTCATGCTGGGGGCATTTTCTGCAGTCACAATACTGATGCCTTGATTGTGGCTGGGCATGAAGTTGATGTTGTGTACTGCATCCGTAACCAGCAGCTGAATTTCCTGCCCTCCCGAGGTGGCAAGTTGGTACTGCTGCAGCTGGAGAATGTTTCTCACTTCTTCCGGATGAGCGTTGGTGCTCGGGGCGGTGCTGGCTTCCTGAAACTGCTTTTCCTTGCTGTGAATTTTCAAATGAGACTTCAGATTGTCTAGACGAGCAAACTGCAAACTACATTCTGGGCAGGCAAAAGGCTTTTTGCCTGTGTGTAAGATACAATGTCTTCTCTTAGCACTGGAATCAGAGAAGGATTTTCCACATATATCACAAGTATATGGCTTTTCTCCTCTGCAAAAGGAAAGAATTTGATCTCATTAAAATATTCACTTTGACAATGCTGCTTTCTGAAAATTAATATATAATACAATACTTAAATGATTACATTGTCTTTCTAAATTGTAAGTACTTAAAGGGTAGTGTTAAAAACATAATCTATTTGATCTCCTGATTATCTCTATTTGACTTCACAAACTTTACAATTAGTATATACTCCAGAGCTGCAGAGATAACTGCCTTCCTCTCATAAAAACAGAGGTACAAGCTCCATGCTGCTTGACCTTGACAAGAATGCAACAACTTTACACAATTCTAAGCACTGAACATTTTAAGAACATTAATTAACAGTGTGGGCTTAAAACCAAAAAGAAGTTTCCAAATCCTAACTTGCTGTCTGTGTCAACAGGACTAGAAATTTTACTGGAAACGTTTTCTTGGACAACAGTTCTCCAGTGATTCACAATCTAAAATGTCTTTATGCTATGCATTGCACTGACAGGCAAAAATCAACTAATGCTGTTAAAGAGACAGGATAGCTCACAGGGCAACAAGGCAATGCTCCAATAACCTTGATACTTCACAGCTACTGTTCTGCTCTCAAACAAAACTTAAAATAAAATTTTCACAAAAACAGCACAGCAGTAAGTACACTGTCAGTGAACAGACACAAAACACCAAAGAAGACTCTTACAATATCTTGGCACATGAGTATTTAGGACTTTGGTACTTTCCACTACCAATTTTTAACTTACACAGATTAAGCAAAAATGTTTTTAACAATCATTCAAAATGCAAACAAGTCCTGACTATTCTATAATTAAACAAGCACTACTTCTCGTTATAAAACTAGAAGTTACATTTTAATAGAATGTAATGAAAATAAGACATACTTTACCTGTGAATTCTAATGTGAGTCTGAAGTGAACTTTTAGCTGTAAATGATTTGCCACAAATCTCACAAGTGAAGGGCTTCTCACCTATCAAAAAGAAACGTGACTTCCCTTTTCAAATTGCACTTTTAATGAATTCATTAAAAACATTTTGTATTTTACCATACATAGTATCAAGTATGCACTGTTGGCTCCTCACGCTTCTGTCATGGTTCAGCAGATATCCAAAACCGCAATGAACTCACAAGTCAAAATGAGGGTATAACATTTTAAATGTACACCTCTAGCATTTCTCCCCTTTGAAGATGAAGAATTAGGTGATCCAAGCCCCCAAAGCAACAAAAAGCTGTACCTATGGCACAGATGTGAGTGTTCCCTATGGAACAGAAATGCTTTGAAAAAGGCTGTCCCTGAACCTGGAATGAATGCCATGTTCATGTGCAGCACCATCCAGGTGAGTAAGCTCAAACTTCCAAAGCTGGAAAATGACTCCATTATCTTAAAAACTTGCCTGGCTTTCTATAAGGCTTCATCACACTAGGCCTATGATATTCTGGGAACACCAGTTAGAAAAAAAAAATTATTGTGAGTTAAATAAAATGTGAGTTTGGGGATTTTTTGTTTATTTGTTGGGGTTCTTTTTGGTGCATTTGGAATTCTGATGTCTAATTGAGTAGAAGCAGAGAGGCCAAATTAAATTATAAGAAGGTTCATAGAAACAGATACTACCCAACCAAAGCAAATCCTAATTCACACCACAAATCCTTGTAGCACTGAGGTTCTTTAAGACACCAGACACGAGAATCCAGACCACCACTGTGGTAATTCACACCATCAAAGCATACCAAACCCAGGCACTGGGCAGCAGCCAGTTTCCAAGGAAGCTTCCCATTCAGCATAGAACTGCAATGCTTACCAGCTTTCATGTGGCTTTGGAGGGCATGGATAAAGGATGAGAGAACAAGAAACATTTGTCAGAAGGGACCTCTGGTCATCCAGTCCCAGCTTGCTACTGAAAACAGGAGTAACTTCCCAATTAAACTGTATTTTTATGACACAGTGTTACCAAACTGCTGCCAAAGGAGAACAGTTGTACCTATGTTAATGCCTGTCCCCCAAATGCCTTGGAATTTTACTTTGCTTTTGATGAATTATTATTTCTACGTAATTAATACTGGTATCTTGCATGTCTTTTCTGGTAGCAAAATATATTGCAAGCCAGTTTCTGCTAAAAATCAGCTTAGCTCATATATTTTTGCAACTTACCTTGCTAATAAGCTTCCTCTTCTCATTACTCACACCAAACTCATTTCCCACTACATTAAGAGAGCTGTATCAGGTTCAGATACAAAACTCTTGCGTGTCAACACCAAGTTCTCTTCAATACAAAATTATGTAAGTATCACATGCTAACACTATTCTAGATAACCAAAAGCTCCCAGAAGCACAAGTTTTGATCTCAGCATATCCCAGAAAACTTAAATCTTTTTCACTTAGCAAAGAAGAGGAAAAGAATGAGATAAAGTATGCTTGAGGCTGAGTTACGTATTACAACTGCAAGCGACACACTCAAGAATAACTTAATTTTGTGAGGAAACAATTGCCACTGTTTCTAGTTTCTTTAAAAGACAAAATTATTCACATGTCACCTAATGAACTTACTCTTCAAAGGGAAGTATTTTATGACATTTATGCCTTGTTATTATGAGAGGATAGATCAACATTTTTATCTCTGTTATCCAGTGATTCATTACCAGCCTGCCCTCTAAATCTCTTAAAACACCCTCTGACGCACTTGCATTAAATCATCCCCCCCAGCCCATCTCCTCTCAACATCTGGTTTATTACAGCACAGTAAAAGCTCAGTGGAAATAATTATTTTTCTGGTCACAGCACTTTTCATAAGCACCCATCCCTCACAGACAAAGGTGTCCATCTCATTTGGACACACACTTTCTGTTGCTTGTCAGCTCACTGAAAGCCCAATACATGCTGGATACAACTCTCCCAACAAACTGCATTCTCAGTCCAGGATTCTATCATGGGAAAGCTAACTGGCATTTTCTGCAGCAGGGGAAAAAAGCCCTCTTCCTGTAATAGGCACTGCTTCTGTGCTGCTGTAACACAAGCTTTTTTTGTGCTTCTGCATTCTTGATGTCAAATTTCTTCATCAGCAACACAGGCATCATTATGTTACAAGCAGAGCAGAAGTTCATGCCACAGAGACAAGTGTAATTTGTTTAACATTGTTTTGTCCATGTAACGTCAAGAAAAAACAAACCACAAACCCCACAAAACACAAGGTACAAAATTACCTGTATGTGTTCTTAGATGTTTCTTTAGCTGAGCTGCATCCATGAATTTGCGCTGACACTGGTTACATTCCGGCAGTGAACGGCCTTGTCGCAACAACAAAAAAAGTGTCAGTGCCTAAGTGATCCCCTCTATATCTTCCGTGATCTTTGTTAAAGCACTTTCCTGTAAAATAACCACTTTGATATAATATAGAGATAAAACAAAAGGTGATTCCTATTTCTCAATTTAGTATTACCACAGGAAAAGAGGAGACTGACACCTGCTCCTGCCTAAAAGCACCTTCTGTTGAAGCCTTGTAAATTCTGATTTTCTCCACCACTTCCTCTGTGTGTATCTTCATCCTGTTCCAGAAGTGAGAAGAACACTTCCTAAAGCTTGTATACCCTTACTAGTCCAGAGTAGTGGGCAACTAAGTGCAATTTGCACACCAAGCAGCAGACAAAGTTGTTTATACAATTCCTAGCTTCTATGTAACATGAACAGCAGGGCTAAAATAATAAAGTTGTCTGTCAACTACAGTGTAATTAACTTTTTAATCAACATAAGAGCATCATAAGAGCTTCTCAATTAAACACTTTTCTACACATTGCATTACTATACACCATTATGTCTTTTTCACCCTATCCACTGTTCTACCTATCCAAGATAGGACACATCAAGGTAGCAAAGACCAAATACATTACTGAGGAAGAACTTTCAGCCTAAGTCAATCTTTAGGAAGACAAATCAGCATGGACTGTAAGCCTCAATCCAAACTTGTTATACCTGTGTGTAGTCGATAGTGGCTCTTGAGCTGTCTCTTTTGGCTGAAGTATTTCCCACACTGATCACAGGTAAAAGCCTTCTGCCCTGTAGAGAAAATCACTTATTAAAATGTAAGCCATGTCCAAAGCAAGTGTAAGAAAATAAATAAAATACAAAATTCAGCTGTGAGGAGCCAATTCAGTTTTGATTTGCCTCAACAATGTCAGAGACACATGGGGAGGAGTTGCACATGTGCCACCTCCAGAAGACACATAGGAAAAGATGGAGGAAAGCCTTGTCTCTGGAGAGAGCTTTCCTGGCAACGAGTTCAAGTCTTGCATGGGACAACCAGTCAGCAGGGGAACACCAAAGACACTGTACCCCAGAGACACTCTCCAGTCAGATGGCAAAAGGTCTCTGCCAATAGACTGCAATGGGAGATGGACTGGGCCCATGGTTTCCTGTCAGCAGGCAGACGTTGGGAGGAGCTGGGGGTATGAAATGTAACTGTGTCACAGGCCCTGGGGCTTTCTGAGTTGGACTTTTGGCTTGCGGCTTTTTTGAGACTGTGCTTTTGCTTTGGAGGCTTGGTGATTGACAGGCTTTTTGAAACTTGCTTCTGATTTAGCACTTTTTGAGTCTTAGGCTTTTTGCCCTGGCCCCAGCCTGCCTTTTGGCTCTCCTGCCCTCGCTGGTTCCTCCTAACCCTCGCATTCTGTCCTGCTTCCCTGTGTTCCTGACCAGCTCCCTGACTGCTTTGTCCCAGCGTCCCTGCGTCCAACCCCACCCGCCTCTGAGTCAGCCCACTGCTGTGATCCTTGCCACAACTGTGTGCACAGTTCTGGTGGAGGGCTCTGGACCTCCTGCCCAAGTATCCCTCACCTTGTACCTGGTCACCCATCACCGCAGGAGCCGTGCCCAAGCAGGCAGCGTGTCTGCACACCTCCCACCTCGTGGACATTGACAACACTCCCTCCGGTGTAAAAGCCCTCTTTTTCTCTCTGTCTCCCCTCTCTCTCCTCCCATTCCTTTCCCATTTTTCTTCCTCTTGTTCTGTCTTTTCTAGTTCTCTTTAGTAGGATAACTTCTTTTAATATTGTTTTTTCATTACCAATCAACAGTTTTCAGATACAGTGTTTGTCTCATGTGACATTATTTTTTCCCTGACCATCCACTTCTAAAGTAACTCCTTGCAGTTCCCCTCAGTGGAATGTGACACCAGCACACACAAGACGGATCAGAAGTACTTTTTTTTCAGAAAGGCAGATTCTTACAGCAGAGAGCAACATTTGCCTTGAAGTATTTACCTGAATGTAGGCTCATGTGCTCCAGAAGAGAATGCTTTGTTGTCAGAGCCTTACTGCAAATGGTGCACGTGTACGGCCGTTCCCCAGTGTGCATTCGCTCATGGACTTGAAGAGAATGCTTCTGGGAAAAGCCTTTGCCACACTCACTGCATTTAAAAGGACGCTCCCCTGAAAGCAAAAGATGAGATTTTTAGTCACAGATGCATTATTTCTCACTAGATATTCTAAGCTGATAGTGAGATGTGCTGCAATGTTGTAGCTACTGAAAAAATTAGTCTCGATTAGTGGTGAAGAGACAAGCTTCAGACAGGAATAAAAGAATTCTTTAGCTATTGCCATATAATTCAGTGCTTAAACAATTAAATTATTAATTACACTGAAATCTAGGTAAGACATAAAGGTTCTGAGATCTGCTGACAAGAATAAAACAGCAAACACAGAACACACTGTAATTTGAACCAGCATGCTATTTTGGATATTCTTGCTGTAGTCAACAACCAGCAGCTCAACTGTCACTTGCATTTGGCAAATCCCTTAACCTAACCCAAAAGCAGCAGTCGCTGAAGGCCTACCTGTATGGCTTCGCTGGTGAATAGCCAAGAAGTGACTGTACTTAAATACTTTGCCACAGTCTTTACAGCGGGCTTCAGAACCTGCACGTTTTCTTTTTCCATCAGTTCTCTTTGCCAATCCTTTCTCATCCTCATCCCCAAGAAGTTTATAATCTTTCAGTTTGATTGACCTCCTTATTCTACGTTTGCTGTAACGGCTCTGAGTGCTCTGTATTTCTTCAGATTTGGGATCACAGTTTTCATCTTTTTCAGCTGACAGATCAACAGCAGCTTCTGAGCCACAAGCAGGTTCAATTTCTTCTCCCTCTTTCCTCACTGAAGCCTGTTCACTGGCAACTGTTTCTTCTACTTCAGTGTCTTTTTTCATATAATTTTGCTCATTTTGCATGGAGTTGTTTTCTCTCAGCTGCCCATCTTCAGCAGAATTTGCTCCTGATTCTTCTTCTTCCTGGACAACCTTGATTTTCCTTGGTCGCCCCCGTTTTCGCTTTGGTGGATCATCATTTTTCCTGTCACTTGCAACAACAGAGGCTATGCTTTCAGCTGGAGCTGGCAATGCACAGCCTGGGCTGCGGCTTTCCAGGTAGTCTGTACAGGCCCATACCAAGTCAGTCACTTTCAGCAGCTGGGCAGTAGCCAGGATTTGCTCTGTGCTTTTCTCACTGGCACAGAGGCAACCAGTGTAAATAAATTCTAGCAGAACTCCAAAGGTGTCTGCAACCATTCCCTCCAACATGTAAACTGACTGCCCTATTTCACCCTCATTTACAAACATCATTGAGAAGTATTCACTACTGGCAGCCAGCAAAGCTTTGTGGGCTCTGAATTGCACATTCTCCACTATCAGAGTAATGTCACAAAGAAAATCCTTTTTTCTTTGCTCCTCAAAATTAGCTAGAATGGTATCTTTGTGAGCTTTGGAGTGGATGATCAGTTTCTCAGAAGGATCAGTTGTTTTTGCCATTTTAATTATGAATATTAAAGGAGGTGCCTAGAAAAACAGAATAGCTTTAGTAAATAATTATTTTAACAGTTGGCATTATAAGACCCAAGTATCATATTTGTTATACCCATAACAAAGTTCAAGAGTTTCTGAAGCAATTCTGAATCCTCCGAACTTCTGAAAAATCAACACTATTGCTGATACGGAATTTCTTCAAAAAGTATTTGAAAATCCTATGAAAAGGCTACAGATTGTTTTTTAGATCAGAATTACTGCCTATAATTTTATCTCTGATGTACTGTGAATCCTATATTATATAAAAAAATTGCTTCCCTAGCGTCTGAGACTAAAACAATCAGAAACAATTCCTTGGTCACAGCTCCTTAGTATAGCACTGGCTTTGCATGGCAAGGCTTTGGTAGCAGGGCAGTTACAGGGGTGGCTTCTGTGAGAAGCTGTCAGAAGCTTCCCCAGTATTTTACAGAGCCAACACCAGCTGACTCCAAGATGGACCCACTGCTGGCCAAGGCTAAGCCCACCAGCTGATGGTGGCATCACCTCTGAGATAACAGATTTAATAAGGGGGAAAGAAATGTGCACAACTGCATCTGGAGAGAGAAGTGAGAATATGTGGGAACAGCAGCTCTGCAGTCAGTGGAGTAGGAGGGAGAGGAGGTGCTCCAGGTGCCAGAGCAGAGATTCCTCCACAGCCCCTGGTGCAGAGCATGGGGAGGCAGTTGTGCCCCTGCAGCCCAGGGAGGTCCATGGTGGAGCACAGATCCACCTGCAGCCCCTGGAGAACCCCACACCAGAGCAGGCTGATGCCTGCAAGGCTGGGAGCCTGTGGGAAGCCTGTGCTGGAGCAGGCTCCTGGCAGGACCTATGGCCTCATGGAGAGGAGCCCACACTGAAATGGGTTTGCTGGTAGAACTCTCCAACCCCATGGAGAACCCAGGCTGGAGCAGACTGCTCCTGAACAAGTGCACCTGTGGAAGGGATCCAAGCCAGGGCATTTTGTGAAGAACTGCAGCCCATGGGAAGGACTCAGGCTAAGGTAGTTTGTGGAAGAAGAACTGTCTCCTGCGGGAGACACCCCACACTGGAGCAGGTGAAGAGTGTGAGGAGTCAAAGGAGAATCAAAGAAAAAGTGCAGTGAACTGACTGCAGCCCCCATTCTCCATTTCCCTGCACTGCTGGAGGGACGAGGTAGAGAAAACTGGGACTAAAGCTGAGCCCGGAAAGAAGGGAGAGGTGGGGTGAGCTGTTTAAAGATCTGGGTTTATTTCTCATTATCCAACAATGATCTCATTGACAATAAAGTAATTTCCTCAAGTCAAGTCTGTTTTGCCTGTGCCTGTTTTGCCTTTGTTCCCTGCTCCCCTCAGCGGGGAGTGATGGAGTGGCTCTGGTGGACAGTGGTGTCCAGCCAGCAACAACCCACCACACTGGAAACAAAAAGGTCAACTGCAGTTTGATCAGTGCAGTTCACTGAGGGACAAGGTAGGAAATCGTATAATAAATTATGCCATGGTTTATTTGAGGTGTTAGGGCGCGGGTTGGAGTAGATGATGTTAAAGGTCTCTTCCAACCTAGTGGTTCTGTGATAAAACTTCACTGGTATCAATGTGGCCAGACTTCATGACTTCTTTTACACGTATTTATCCTTCTGAAAAATTTTCTTTTTTAACACTTTAACACTTTTAACTTTAGTAAGCTTCAGCCTAAGAAGGTAGGCAATACAAACACAGAAACAGCAGTGTTTTGAAGGGTTCTAATATAGAGCTCATTAAGGTACTATTAACAATCAATTTGACTTGCTAAGATCCTTCAATAGTAAATTCGCAAAAGTTAATAATAAACCAAAAAAAAGCATCAATTTCAGAAGACTCCACCAAATATTATGGATGAGATATGCCCAGAATGTCCTATTTATAAAGCTCAGCTAAACCAAAGATAATACAAGTGTCACATTAAACACATATAAATTTACATATTTGTATTTAGTTAGTGCAAAAGTTTCAATGACCTGAACAAATGCTCCATGAAACAGCAGACACTACCTACAGATGATACCTACAGGCTACTGAGATGGCGAAAAAAGGACTCTTTAGCCCTAATCGGGTACCAAATAGTTCACAGCAGAGCCAAATTCTTTTAATCTGGGAGCTTTAACTTCCAGAGCATGTGAACCCGATGTTTCTAGCTGGAGCACCTTAAAACACAGCTGCAGGTGTGACCCAACCAGCCTTACCGTGCAATATAAGAATTCCTGGACAGCTGCTGCCAACTCTCCCTGCAGGCATCCCCTAACATCCACACGTGTTCCAGACAAAGTAGTGGGTGTTTTGTGAGGACTTCATGTTTAACCAGGAGATGACAGTATTAGTATTTTGACTGCAAAATCCAAACCACGCAACTTCACTAAAAGCCCCTCACCATTACAGAATGAGGCCGCACTCCCGCAGGAGGCCCCACGCTGCCGGCGCTGCGTTCGGATACGCGCTCCGGCCCGGCCGGCGGAGGGCTCAGGAGCTCCGGGGAGGAGACCCCGGGGGGCAGCGCACGGCCCGGGGCTGGGCCTCGGCACGGCCAGGGCCACGGGCACGGCGCGGATCGCCGCGCCGCGCACCGTGTGAGCGCCCGGGCCGCCCCGGGAGGGAAGGCCGCCCGTGGCTCGCGGGGCAGGAGCAGGGAGCGGGCGCTGCCCCGCGAGAGCCGCGGCCCCGGAGCTCCGGCCCGGCCCGGCCCGGCCCCACCACTCACCGCTCGCCGCCGCCGCCGCCGCCGCACTTCCGGCCGCGGCTGGCCGCGCGCCTGCGCTGCCGCCGGGAGCGCAACGCGGGCGGGACTTGGAGCCGCGGAACGGCGGACCAGCCCGCGGGGGTCAGCCGGTTCCAGCTCCAGCCCTGCCCAGGACAGCCCGCAGAACCACACCGTGTACCCAGAGCGTTGCCAAATGCTTTTCTTAAACTCTGTCAGGCTTGGTGCTGTCACCATTTCCACGGGGAGCCTGTTCCAGTGCCCAACCACCCTCTGGGTGAAAAACCTTTTCCTAATATTGAGACTAATCCTCCCCTGGCCAACTTCAGGCCATTCCCATGCGTCCTGTCACTGGGCACCACAGAGAAGAGATCAGTGTCTACCCCATCTCTTCCACTCAGAAAGGAGTTGAAGACTGTGACGAGGTGTCCCTTCAGTCTCCTCCGTGCTAAACACACCAAGTGACTTCAGCTGCTCATCATATGACTTCCCCTCAAAGGCTTTCACTATTATCATAGCCTTCCTTTGGACGCTCTCTAGCAGCTTGATATATCTCAACTTCAGACAAAAGATTTTATTTCTAAGATTTCATGATTAAAAAACTGGCCCAAGAACGTGTGATGTTCACAGGCCATGCTGGTGCCTGATGGCAACACTCCATGTGTTAATCAGCAGAAACACAGGGTTCACACAAAAGTGGGGCGGGTGCCTTTCAGGGAGAAAAAGGTCTGCAGTCTGTCATCAAGGCCACGGGGCCGATCTCTTGGCTCCTTATACGGGCCCATCATAGCAGTCCCCAGGTAGGGAATGAGTTGGCAGTGCTCCACGAACTGCAAAAACTTCTTCCTGTACATCTGCCGCACTGGCTCTGAGCTCCGGGGATTGTGTGCTGCAAGAATTTAAGCAGCATGTTAGTGTCTCCTATAAACTTTGTGGAATTACATTACAGAAATTTTCAAAGGGACCAAGTCTACCTCTGTTGGCATTACCCATGGTACAGATAAACACCTTGACTGCTGGTGCCAAGCCAAAACGATAAGTCTGGTATTTCAGAAAGTTCCTGACTCCAAACAGTCGTGATAATCAGAAGGATAAGAAAAAGACACAACAAACATGTCTAGCTGCTGTCAACTTCTCATTTCTCAGACCATGAGATACTGGTGAATCTCCAGGCAGTGACAAATTTGGGTTGTGTGGCACACAGTCTGAAGTGGTACATCCTGGGGATAGCCCAGGTCTGGTATGGCTGGTGCTGGGCCACTGTATCCTTGGTACAAGTGTTCCATGACCTAAATGCTTTGGTACCGCGCTACAACAGCCTATAACGTGGGCTACCTTGTTATACAAGGAAGTCAGGTTTGATAAGCAGAACTGTGACCAACATGGCTTCATGAGAGAAAAGTCCTACTCGTAAAACCTGACTTCCTTGTATGACAAGGTAATAATCCACCTAGTTGACCAAGGGACACCAGTTGATTTGCATTTCATTAAAATTTTCAATACTTTATTTCACAGTATCCTTTTGGACAAAATGTCAGGCACACAGCTGGATAAACACATCATGCCATGGATGAGCAACTGGCTCACCACTCAGGCACAAAGGGTTATAGGGAACGGGGCGACATTGGACTGGTGACCTGTCACTGATGAGGTTCCCCAAAGCTCCATCCACAGCCCTGTGCTCTTTAACATCTTCATAAATGACTGGGATGCAGGACTGGAAGGGATACTAAGCGAGGTCACAGATTATACAAAACTGGGAGGAGCTGTTGATTCCCTTGAGGGCAGGGAAGCCCAGTAGAGAGACTTTGACAAATCAGAGGACTGGGAAATCACCAACCATATGAATTTCAGTGAGGGAAAGTGCCGGATTCTGCACCTGGGATGGATACATGGACAGACTGGGCAATGAGATGCTGGAAAGCAGAGCTGTGGAAAGGGGCCTAGAGGTGCTAGTCAGTGGCAAGTGGAATGTGAGCCAGCAGTGCCCTGGCAGCCAGGAGGGCCAGTGGTGTCCTGGGGGGCACCACGCGCAGCATTGCCAGCTGGGAAAGGGGGATTGTCCTGCTCTGCTCTGCACTGGGGTGGACTCATCTTGAGTCCATTGTGCAGTATTAGGCACCACAATATAAGAAAAGCATTAAACTATCAGAGTGTCCAAATGAGTTTGGCATACATTAGTATTGAGTGCCAGTCCTCAGAGTACAGTTTATTATTTTAATTGTTACCCAAGGCAAAGGAGAAGGAGTGAGCCAAATCATAACCATTGTTTTTTCTTATGGACAGTATTTTATTTCTCATTACAAAAACTGGACAGCATGAAGAACTATCCTATAAAACACTTCAGCCCACTAGCTTTAAACTGTAGACAGCTACATTTAACAGTTTCTGAGACATTTTTCAAGCATAGCTCTGAATACAGCCCTTACAAGAGTCCAGTTTGAAGGACACTCAATCTTTAAATGTGATATTAGAGAATGATGTTAATTGAAGATGAGAAGGTCTAACTTCACATAGAAATAGGACAAAATAAATTTCCAGGGGACCACAAGGCACTTTGATCAAATTTTTTTATCAAGAATGGCATGACTACTCTGAAGAGATGCACAATAATAAATAATTCTGTATTTGCAACTAATCACAGAATCGCAGGGTGGATCAGGCTGGGACAGGAAGGAACCACACTGGGTCATCTGGGACAACCTCCCTGCTCAAGCAGGGTCATCCCAGGGCACACAGCACAGGGTCGTGTTCAGATGGCTCTTGAATATTTCCACTGATGAAGACTCCACAACTTCTCTGGGAAATGTGTTCCAATATTTGGTCACTAGCACATGGAAGAAGTTCTTCCTCACTTTCAAGTGATTTGTCAGTGTACAGGAATGCTGTATCTTAAAGTTGGAAGCAGTCCTACCCAGTGCTAGAAGAAGATAACTTGTTTTCCTGGGTTCCTATGGTCAAACTATTTGGCACTGTATGAGGAGAAGAGATTTCTGCACTTGCATAACCCTTCTGGTTCATCATCCACTACTAATAATGATTTAATGTTGCAATATATGAGCAAAACATTCCTAGCATGGGCATCCTTATGTTAGCAAAGCCATCCTAACAATAGAATGAAAATAGCTGTTGTGAATGAAGCAAACTACAGTATCAAAACAGTTTGGTGGCTTAGGAATTGTACATTTATGTAGGGGCTTACCATGTGCCTACCCTGTTCAATGGTCTTCCTTAACAAAGCTGTGCTAGCAAAAAAAAAAAAAAGAGTGACATTTCAAGAAAATTCTGGAGGGCTCTGGAAACTACATAAGGAAACACAGGATGTGAAGAGCTTAGAAAAAATAATTAAGACTGGTATTGTCTAAAATAATAAGTAAAAATGTAAAACACGAAAGGCCAGGTGAAGTTTGCCCAGTGAACAGGTTGGCTTATAAATGACAAAAGTCGTGGGTTGAAAGAAATGTCAGTCTTGCTCCAGAAATCCCCAGCAGTACTGGAAACCCAGCCCAAAGCTATAGCAGAGCTGTAAACAAAGACATTGAAATCGAGAAAGATGGCAATAGTTAAGCTGATTGCAAACTATTAAAGATTATTACATGTAATTGGTATCTCTGGCTGAAAAAAACCCAAAGAGAAATTCTAAAAAACAGCAAATATGAACACTAATTGGCTACCTATATTTTATCAGAGATCTTATGTCATTTATACAATTAGTTATTTTATAGCATGCTATTTTATACACTACCTTTTAGATGGAATGAGACAAAAAGCAGAGCAGTTTCTTTCACACTTAGGAATGGAAACTTTGGCTTAAGGCTGCCAACTTCATGCAGAGCTTTTATTAGAGAAGTTGCTACTCCCTAAAGAAAGAAAATAGTTTTAAAAGACCATTACAGTAATCTTGAGGAATGCCTTATCCTGTTGTAATGCAGATCTAACAATACAGGACGATACCCTAAGTTGGTGAATAGTAGAAAACAAGAAATTAGCATAAAATAGGGAGGGCTGTGACCATGAATAATTTTTTTATTTATTCATGTGTCAAAGTGTAACAAATTACTCTAAAATTTTTCCAAGTAAGCTTGTGTCTATGCTGGTGTTAAAAGTCAAACCAAAATGTACTCTTACAAGATATGATAAACAACTAAGTCAGAAAATCATCATATAGTACTGTAGCTTATTATCCCCCTCTGATGGTCTTGTGTTTTTTTCCATGAAAGCTACAAACATCTGTTATTTTAAAAATTACTCTCAATTGTAACTAAAAAAAAAATTCAATTTAATATAATCTCTTTAATAAATATAAGACTCAAATGCATTAAAAATTAAAAAAAAAACCAGGAGTGGGATATGCTATATATATGATATTTATCACAAAATCATGCTTTAAAATAGAAAAGCAAAAACTGGCCTGTTCAAGGTATCCAGGCAAAGGAAGTGTAGTTAATAGCATAGGCTCTTGTTTTGGAGGGAGTTTATGGGGAAGCTTCAGATTCCAGTACTTCTCTGGTAACCTAACCAGATATAAAGTAAGCACTTTTAAGATGTATAAACAAGATTATATAAACATTTTAAGATTAAAATGCAGTTAGTGTATTTACCTCATAAACTTCTGAAGTTTTTCTTCACTTTCAAAAATATATACCTTGTCTTGGTATTTTGCTGCATACTCTATGTTGCCAGGCACCAAAGCTTCGTATCTGAAAAGATGGAGCAAGAATAACTCATTCACAGAAAACGTAAAACTTAATTTGTGTGGAGTAAATTCATGAGCTACTGGCAGCCTTCTG